CCGCTTAAGTTTCAAAAGTTAATATAAAAATAATTATTTTTGGGGTGGGTTAGAAACCTAAAAACGTGTGAGATGTTGAGACCACATTGTTTTAAAATACTATGCAAAAGAAAAATTCAATTACTAATTTAATCCTATGATATTGAGTGGCTCACGATAAAACAATCGCCGTGTATACGAAAATAGAGAATGCGATTTGCACGTCGAAATCATGTGTCTTAAGTTGTTCGAAAATCGTGTTAGACATCCAGTGTACGACGCTATATTTCGATAGTTTCGAAATATAAACATTTTTTAGGTTGGTAATCTAAGAACTTTTATTAAATTTCAGAAGTAATTATTAGAAAAATTCAAGGAAATAAATAAATAACTCGTGCAAATATTATGGCATACTTAAATGACAGGGAAATGCCATTTAATATTGTTTTGAAATAAAATACGATTAAGAACAAGTTGTCACGGCCTATGAGACTACGGATGCATTTCACTCCGACGAGCTTTTAAATATTTAATGTTCTCTTAGACTGTACATAATATAAAATATACGTAGTTTATTATTCCGACCAGAGTACATCTTCAAACGACCTGTTTATATTTGATTTCATTTATAGCTATGTTTTTATGAAGGTTTTTTTTTTTTTTTACCAACTTACTCGATATTTTTCATTTTTAATCTCCCGACCCGAACGAATAAGGATTTTATTGGTTTCCTTGTAAACAAGAGTCTGCCGCTACCGTCGCCGCTGGACTGCTGTCGATCGTAAATCGGTCGATAAAAACGGTTCCCCTCCTCACTCTATTCACCGTCTTGCCGTTTTCCTCCCCTCGACAAGCGCGCCCGGACCGTACCCGACAAACGGCAGTAATATTTAGGTCTCGGCTATGTATAAAATTTAATTGCATTCCAGATTACCCCTTTTATAACACAACAATAAAGCGATTCCAGTTTAATTGGTCGGCTAAGGGTCGACGGCGCGCGGTCCAAGCGTTGTACTTTTAGGAGAAGAAACTAACAACGTCAACTGGGCATCCCTACTCCAACCCCGTGCCAGGCCAGCGTCACTATGCCACTACGACCGCCATCCTTGCCACCGCATTCTTCTATTTCGCCCTACGCCGACGCTTCAGGTGCCGTCACCCCTGTTGTAAACGCTTGTAAGCCGGATGAATAGAAACTTCCATCCAGGACGAGCAATAATTATCGTCGGTGTTAACAATATTATACACGGTAATCGAGCTTTTTTTTTACCACGCATATTAATTTAAAAAAATATAGAACATGTTTTAAGGCCGTACAAAAAGTCTATCATTATAATAGGCATATATATATGTAGCGCTTTAAATTAATACTATTATTGTAATGAAGTGGTTTGTAACGTAAAGCCATGACAGACATGTTTAATACACGGTGAAGGTCGTCAAAGATAGAACTTGTTTTATGATCTTTCAGTGTATTGCTGTTTGAAACCTTAACATAATTTCCTGATTATCTTTGTCGATGTTTGAAATGGACTCCATATTTCCTGCTAAAAGAGCAACAGTAATGTAATAAATATTATCCTTCCGAGTATAGACCATAAATTGCATCAAAGGGTAGTCAGCTGCAATGCAGTAAGTATAATATATGCACTGCCCGTGCGTGTACTGATGAAATTTGAACTTCTTTACTAAATTTATCAAGCAGTAGGAAATTTTGTTTTTGTTCACAGTATATTTAAATGTTTTAATTGCAGCTATTAATAATGATGGACTCTGTCGGATATAAAAAAAAGTACTCGTTGACTTCTCTATAAAAATGCTAAAATGTTATGATAACTGCTAAGATGTATTAAGCATTTATAAAAAAAATCCAAATTAATTAATTAGTCTTACAATAATAGTGTATAATTCAACACAACTATACCATCTATACAAAATTGTTTAAATAACGTCTTAAGTATCTCAAAATAAACTTAAATGTTTAATCTTTATGTCTATATCTAATATTTTTGGAATTAAAAAGGCTGTTTTTTTAAATAAATTTTGTACGTAACAACTTTTTTTTAAGTTACATTTTACCATTTATTGGTTAAAACAAATAATAAACACTCTCATAATATTTTTAACGCCAACATCGATTGGAAAAAAACTTTCTTTTCATTTAACTTTTTAGAAAATAGAATGGCATGTTCTTATTTATTGTATTCTTTAGCAGTTTCCATTCATTTTTAAAATACAATGGGATTGAATCAATCGACGGAGTTTTTTTATATTTTGAGTACTAATTGTTGTTATAATATAATCAAATTTTATGTTGAAATTATTCCGCAGTACCGTAAAATTACATTAACTATTTTAACGACGATTTATTTTATTATTTTACTATCTCAATTTTACTGTTTGGCGTCTATTACATCAACAATACAATGGTTGGTGGTATCCGCGACAACCAGATTTTGTAATTTCGTAATCAACATTTAGTTTTAGCAACTTTAATTTTATTGAACTAATAAATATGTTAAAAGAACTAAAATTCACTAAATACAAATAAAAAATATTGTTGTCACGGTTGCAACCAAACTTCTGTTGATGCAACAAAATAGTTTTTCCGTATACTTTGTTGAAACAAATATTAAACTATGAACGTATCCGGGCCGTCCTTGGAGTAAGGCAAGATTAAGGGCAATTTATTTTTTTGCAAGTCCTCTGTGAGCTTTTTTCATAACTTAAGATCTTTCATATTTTAGTCAACGATATCTGTCAAACAGGCAGGATCAGTGGTATTTCAAAATTATATTATGAATTATTAATTATCTTATTTTTAATAAAAATTGTTGTGTACTTTTAAATTAATATACAAGGGCTTATTGGGATAATAATTAATATGCAGTCTTAAAATATAGAATATATTTCAAGATTCACATTTATATTCTAACCGTTTTTGTAAGGGATATTTACATTTTTTATTTATCATAAATACGCCACTTGCCAGTCGCCATATTGGACTTGAAATTACTTGTAAACCATAAGGAATCGTTCAGTATCGGATTCCAAAGGATAAGACAAACTGGAAGGGCTACGTGAAGTTGGCCCTGTCTAACGTTTTGTTATGATTACGGGTACAATAGTTGTTTGAAACTGCTTGCAATTAAATTGCTTAATAACGAAATAGATTAGAAGTTTGTAGTATAAGGCCAGAGGGCCAACTTCATACACGTGGTAAATGCAAATGAACGAAAATCAATAACATAAAGTATATAAGAATACTTATTTACAATACGAATACGGTGTTATATTTCTTCGGCTATGACAGTTCTCCAAATGAAATATCAATGACTATTAGATACCCTCGCACGGGACTGAAATATCAAGAAAAAAACTATGTAGCTGTTTTATTATTGTTATCACTTTTTGGTAAAAATAAAATGGCAGCGTATAGTACCTTAACATGTATTTAAATCTATATATTTTAACGTGTGTATAGATATAATTCGTATAATGAAATCCCTTTATGCTGTTATTTTATGTGCAATAACTTGTATAGGTTAACCACGGGTTGAATTTAGAAATGTATTCGAAAACGGTTGTTCGTAAGAATATAATACCATTACGTGTTCAATGATAATATTACGCAGTGTTCTCGTTTTTTTTTCTTTTAAGAAGAGGCCATGCTAATTTTGGAATACAGTTTAAATAATTAAAATTGCATTATTCAAATATAACGAAATGAGAAAAGTTGATTCTCTTTTCTTTCTTCTTCTTTTTACTTTGTTTTAATTCTGGATTACGTTAATTTTTTATTCTGCCCGCTTACGGAACGCCGTGCCGCCGGCAATGGCGAACGAGATATAAACAATAAGATAATAATATAATAATATGATCGGCGGCGGTGGATTTTTGACGGTTTGCGAAAAGCTATTTGTACGACGACAACGACGTAAGGAAGACGGTGTGGGTGATGGTGTCGGTAGTGGTCTGCCGGCCAAATTAAAAGAACCGTAAAAGGTCCACGAGAAAAAAAGTTTTTCACTTTTGGAACGCTATTAGTTATATACAGACGCGGCGGGCGGTGCCGTACGCGGGGAGAATGATTATCCTCTCTCCCGTTGCCGGCGACCGGAGATCAAAATTCCTGATAAGGAAAAAGTATCCTTAATAAGATATTACGTGTTTAAGGCCTCTGAAACGTTTAAAAAAAGATCGACCGGCGGAATGGGAGGGGGCTTGGAAATTAATGAACGATGGCCGCGGTAGATAACGGTACAAGATGAATGAAACTGAATCGTATTCAATTACCTCGGCTCTCGCTTTCAATTTAGTTAACCGCCGACTCTCCGCCTCCGGTCCCCGCGTTCACGATCGCCGTAGTAAGTAAAACTATCTCTCTCCTAAAGCTTTTTGAGGGCGGCAAAAAAAAAGCTAACCCTAGCCATTTTTTTAAATTTTTATTGTAAAAAAAAAAAAAAAAATAAACGCCCATCAATCATGTACAACAACTGCCGTCGTTGCGGGCCAGAAAACCGCAAAACAGTAACGCTTTGAATTTTGATTGGCTCTTATTGGTTTTGCGTACCAAGGCTCACGCCGTGCTGGTCATAATAATAATATTATCAACCGCCGTCATTTATTATGCAAACTGTAGCGCGACAAACCTCGGATTTCCTGGATTACAATGTTAACCAATAGTATCATTACCGACGATTTATTATAATACTATATACATTGGTACTTACGGTGATGTAATTTATAGTTCGGGTATTCGATCAAGACCAGTGCAGTACAGTAATATGATGTATTAACGTGAGAGAGTACAACAATATTAATTTTGTTTTCTCTGACTCTATTTGAATCGTCAATCGTTATTATAAATAAACTAATTTTAGCATTAATTGTTCAAGTTATCAAACGACTACTAGTGAACTATAGTTTTGTGTAGGTGTGAAAAAATATACACAAGATATATTTCGAGAAAAATTATTAATTATGATTTATGTGCTAACTGTTAATTTATACATTTTCAGTTCGGCCATTGTCAGTAAAAATGGTTGGAGAAAATCGTCCGATTTCTGCAGAAATTCCTGTAAACGTTAGCTGTCGAGTGATAGGAGCGAAGCCACCACCGATTGTCTCCTGGTGGAAAGATTCAACTCAACTATCCGACGCCAAACAAACGGTGAGTCTAAAAACATAAAATAAAAACTATTACTATTAAACTTGATGACGAATAATTACATTTTGGACAATACAAAGTAATTTTGAAACAGCTTATTGCATAATGCACTGATATTTATTTACATATACTCGTATATATTATACATAACCATAAGGTTTTAAGCAACAAGTCTTATGATTAAATACAAATTGATTGGCATATTATAATATACAACATATAAATATAATATAAGTTTTGGTTTGTAATTGTTAGTTATACTTTCATTTTTATTTTTAATTACAAAAATGTAAAAAAAAAAAAGATCCGGCTAATATCAATACAAGAACTATATTGTGTTTGCATAAATTACAATAAACGTAGGTAAAACCACTTTAATAATAAAACTTAAAAATAAACCGTTCTTTCAAATAACCACTTAATTAAAATGGCCATTGAAGCCAACTTGTGTTAAGTGTGACTCGTTTATATAATACACCTATTGTACATTTTACCACGAACCGTACTTCATTACTATTACAGTATATATATATATATATATATATATACTAAATATACGACGTCCGTTTGACGCCTTTTATTAAATCGGCAGTCATGAAATTTGATACGTATAATATAATGTCTACTTACTTATTAAACAATAAAACAACCAAAACATTTGAAGTACACAATAGAAGAAGGATAATAATTGTCCTTTTTTAAGTTTTGAGATAATGGTACATTGGGGCTATTGAATGATGAAATGCTTTTGGTGAAAGAGAGGTTATGGTGGAGCAATTTTAGCACTTCCAAAGCGATTGACATATAGATTTGTATTCACAAACTAATTGTTTCTATTATTTGTATATTCTGATGACATGAACGTATAAGTCAATAATTTCGATGAGAATATTTTTTTACGAATTTTAAATTAATGTTTGCTTTTTGCGCAAAAAATATATAATATATTATTGGATAGTTTTCTAAACAGTTGTATTTAGTAGTTTAAGCGGAAGAGTAGAAATAAATGTATCGCAAAAAAAGTTTTTGTTTTCCTCAAGTTTCACGAGAACTCGCCAAAAACCACTATCCCGACAGTGGTTATTTCGGACGTAATCTAAGTCCCTACACTTCCCGTATGTCTTTTTTCTCTCATATATTTCATTTACTCTATAAACAGTCTTTTATCAAAAACTTATCCTACTCTTTACGAATTCATATTTATATTTTAACCTTAAACAGGAGTGCATGTAAAGTTATTCCTTGTGGCGGGTACGTGTTTTTATATTTTATTCGTAACAAGTAACACCAAGTTTCTTGTATATTAGAGAACATAACCCACATAGGTTGAATAAATACAAACGTTATTCAATTAACGGATGTAACATGTAAACTATATTGAAGAGGGCAAATGTTCATGCTCTCAATAGCCATCTAAGATAGCTAAAGATTAATGCAAAAATACACATGGTTTCCTTCAATTGCTTGACATGATAAGAAGGGTATCCGCAAAATAAGTTCCCTTTGATTTTTAATTATTATATTTAAAAAAATAAACTTATTTCGTGTGTACCCCTCGTATAAACGTATAATATAGTCCTGCATAAAGTAATAAGCGATTGAAAATTAAAATTCATATATACGTCCGGATATATATTATATAGGTGCTTAAATGCCACAAATAGCCTATAAATTATTTAGTAGTAAATACATTGCTGCTATGTGGCGTTTGGTTTACGATGATTGCAATTATTTATTAACGTTGCTCCGGTTTATGATGGGACACGTAGCAAAGGTATACCACGCCGTGCCATTCGTCGAATGCCTTATCATTGGTCTAACTCGTCGCATTATATATTATTATATATTACTAACGAACCTTTAACCCGTCACGCTGGTGATAACAACACTACTCTAAACAAGAAGGTATCTCTCCTCTTTATTGATCATGCTTTGTTATATAAATTGATCATTTTTACTAATTTTATGTTTACCGTACAAATTGTATCGAAGTAAAACGTTTCCGCTACTTCCCGACGATATGTTTAAGAGTAACTCATTACTAGTTCTTTATTCTTTAAAATCTATCTTAAAAATGTAATTGTTGAAAAGTGAAAATCCACATTTATTTTTTTGTCTCGGAAGGTAAGTTTATAGGACGGTTAGGTTAAGGACGGTAAAAAAAGTACAAAAAAATAATTATTTACAATTTGTGCTATTCTTGGACTGCTGGAGGCCCTTATTTTGTTTAGTTTTCAAAACAGTGGGTTTACGTTTCCAAATTAAACCATTTTAGCATTTCCACGTATACATACGCATACAATTTTCTGTAAGTACTTTCGACGGCAGAAATAAAAAGAACAAGAGCATATAATTTTACTATTATACTTTGTTTTGTTTAATCATGTTGAGTATACTATATGCACTGTGTACATGGATAGTGGGTACAAGCGATCCGCGTGCGCTTGTATTTTATACATATATTTCCCCTCTCCCATATTTTCCTTGCTATCTCGACTAGATATATTATATTGTTTTATTCTGGGCGATCCGAGGCAGTGTCTGCAGTGGCGGTGTGTGTTTGTGTAATGTGTACTAGTATGTGTCGTCTCTGGATGCCGTCCAACGACGATTTTCCCTCTGATTTTCTCGCGCATACAAACCTTTTTGGATGTTCTCCTCTAGCCCCAGATAGGGAAGTGTCTGTTATTAGATTTCACTGCGCCTCGGGTTTACCGCGACGGTTATTAACGAAATGAATTTGAAATCGTCTGACCGTAAACGAATCAGAGGAGAGAAAACGGACGGAAACGTTCGGTACAAATTCTACCCGCCGTGCCGTACAATTCCCCGGTAGAATTAAAACTGAGACGGAAAAATTATTTTTCACTCGGATAAACACACCGGCGACAGGTCACATCTTTGTCTCCCTCCCTCATTTGTGTCCCTACCAATCTTAGCGTTTGTCAATAATAAACTTTGAATGGACAGTAATATAACAATATATAACATTTCTGAAGATGCCACATATCTTGTACATTTTATAGATGTATCATTCAATCTTTATGATTAACGGGTAATTTTTCTAGATTTTTCGTTAAAATTTAACCTCTAAAGTATGTTAATAGCCTTGTCTTATCTACCTAATTAAAAAAGAAATCACTTATTTCATAACATGTTTTACATATATATATATATATATATATATATATATATATATATATATATATAATATTATTCAGAGTACTTTTTTGTAAGTGATCCACACAATCTCAATCTATTGGGTTCAATCAGCTATTAAACCCTAATTAAAACCGATTTTTTCCGTATTAATTTTAAACAATATGACCTCAAATTTCCACAAACTTTTATATTTGTAATCCTCTCCTAAATCAGGTTATTTTATATCAACTTTTGTAGTTTATATGGTAACGTATATAATATATATTGTAATAACTTTTGAAATCAAGAATAAATCACTGAAAGTTTTGACTGATCAATAACTAGTTTTGGATAATTATTTTTAAAGTTATTTAAGCTTAACAGTTATGACGGGAGGGAAGAGGTTTGAGTAAAGCACGCAGATAGAAATAGTACTACTCACCACCCTTCCTCACGTTCTATTATTTTAACTTAAATAACTTTAAAAATAATTATAGAAAACTTGTTAATGACCAGTCAAAATGTTTAGTAAATTATTCCTAATTTCAATAGTTATTACAATATTTACGTTACCATTTAAGTTGCAAAAGTTTGTATAAAAATAATTAATTTAGGAGGTGGTTAAAAACATTCATTAACTGCTCAAACCCTACAAGTTATTGAGTTTATGTTAATTACTTATTTACCTTTTTTAATATTTTCCAGAGCTCTAGAATCTAGATAAATAATTAGTAATTTATAATATTGTAAAAAAAAACAAAAATGTTATCATTTTTCACTACAACTATAAAATACAGTAGTAGCACTAAGTTGAGTAAGGACCATTTTTGAGGATGATATATTTGAGTATCCATGGGGTATAATAAGAAAATGGTTTTAGTGTGTTTTATCGGTGATATGGAGAAAACGTCAAATAAAATATAAATATCTGATACTGTTAAAAATCGTTGTTAATGAATATTATGAAAAACATTTCAAGCACGAGATAAATTGCTTCCCAAATTTAATTGCGTTTCGTAGAATAGTATAAATGGACTATAAAATATTCCATAATAATAACTATATACTAATAAAAATAATAATTTTAACCATCGATATATTAATATATTATGTAATTTGTATTTTATGTTTATTAGATTTGATTTATTTGAAAGTGTTACTGCGATATGTATTTATTTGTAGTTATACATTTATTATAATATGTAATGCGGAAAGCGAAATAGACCACTTGTCGGCAAAGTATATTTCGTAAAAAAAACTCTAAAACTTCTATTAAGGTCGAATATATCGATTTTTTACTAAAAATCATTAATTGTACATTGTATTCTCTAGGATTAGAATACAGGTCAAAACATCGAATCGAATTGAATTACACCCTTAATTAGTGTATACCGATCTCTAGAAAAAGGACTGCTTGTAGGCCGACTTAGAAGTGCAATAACTTGTTCGTTTTTTTAGCTACAAAGATCTACCAGGTCTAGTGCATTTTAACATTAAAAGTATGTTTGTTTATAACAAAAAAATATTTATTTTATATTTTAATTTTACAGTATTTGTAGAATAAGGTATATCACATAAGAAGTCCTCATTATTACATCATATATTCATAAAATATATAGTATTCTAAACTTTGAAGGGTTTAGCTAAAGCAGAAAAGAAATGTAAATTTCTTACAATACTCGTATTTTCTACTTTCTAGTGCAACATTCTCTGTGATGACATTGAATAATGTATGTTCGACATATTTGTAGATACTGATAGATGACTATTATTTATCATACAAACTACGTATTATATTCGTATTTGTAACAATTTTCGATAAAAAGCCGTATTATATTGTATATATTATATATACCTAATTAGCGATAGTGAAGTTGGTTAGTGGATTGTATAGAAGAGTCTTACGATATGTTAATTTGATATGAGAGTAAGTCGTGAAGTAATAGGCAAATTATACACTGGCTGTAAAAATAAACCCCACGAAAAATAATGATATTGGTTTTACTTTTGGTTTTTTTATTATTTCGGTCATATTTTACAGGTATTAAAAAAATATTACAACCCGGCCGAGCTACGCGTAACAAAACAATGTAGATAGGTAGGTATAGATACTGTTCAACGATGATACTGATCCGATTCCCAAGTCTACCGATGAAAATATAAAACACGAGTTTATTGGCATTATTACTTTGACAGTAAAAGGTCTTCGTAGGACAGTTCAACCGTTCTCAAATAAAAAATAAAAACAATTCTATTGTGTTGCCATAAACGCGTGACACATCGGCTGTTTGTACTACACAAAAATAAAATAGTCGATTGATTGTAAGAAATATTTTCAGCTATTTACAGTCGCAATCATGAGCAATAAAAGTCAATAAATTCAAACTACAAGAACATGAAAATAAATTTTAAAAAAATAACCAATCAACGCGCGTTTGAAACCCCACAGCAGTACGATCATTGGACACTAAGAAAATAACGTTCCCTGATAGAATGTTGTAATATTGATTATTTAAAGTGTTAATGAGATCTATGGAAAACTAAGATGTGTACGTTAACCCTGTGTTATGTCTTTTTACAGACCAGTGCCGATGGTAATATGACCGTTAGTGTGCTGACGTTTACACCGAAGATTCAAGATTCTGACAAAATGTTGAGCTGCCATGCCGAAAGTGCTATATCCGAAACCAACACCGGATTTACCAGGACCGATTCGAAACGACAAAAATCAGCTAACGACATAGTCTCATCGAACGAATGGAAGCTTAACGTACTCCGTAAGTGGTTAATTATTATTAACTAAGTAACTAATAAATTTTAAATTATTCTAAATTGTGCATTACAAAACTAAAAGAACACTCTATTATAAGTGCTACAATAATAGGTAATTTGATTTAAACAAATAGGTATGTTGTTTGACGACTTTTACGTTCAACGCAATTATATTAGGTACATTAATAATACGAATACCATTCAAATCCACTTTGAAAGCATTAATGAATTTACTTCTACACTAGGTACTCTTACTACTCTAAGCAGCTTGCCTTTACCTAATTATTCATGACATTCGTTTTAAATAATATAAAGTAGATGCTAAAAAAAAGCGCTGGTTCTTAGTTACAGGCAACAGTTTAGCACAAATATTATAGATGTATAATATCTCACTGATAATTTAGTAATAAGTAAAAAGCAATTTTTTTTTAAATTAATTATAATATTATGTGCAAGTAGCTCAAGTATTTTGAAAAAAGCGTCTCTTGTATAGTTAACAGAAAATCAGTTGAGTAGAATTTCAAAATCTACATATTGACAAAACGATTTGGCTGTGTCGGGTTTAAGCCGAAAACGAATCTGCACGGTTTCCTCTCGATGTATTTTACCGCAATCGTATAAAAGGACTAATTGGGGTGATGTGGTTAAGCAGAAAATTTACGGGTGCATAAACTGCTGTGAAGAGTTATAATCATTTTAAGTTATATACTGACTTTATATCTGCAGCAATCGAGACTGAATATAAACGGCTTTATTATTGAAATTAATGAATTAAAAACATTACTATCGGTTTACGTAGAAAGTGGGTAAGCGTAACGCTGAAAATAATGAAATAAAAATAAAAACAATAATATAAATAACGAATACAACATAAGTATTATTTTTGTGACTTATCTGAGCTGGTTTGATGTAACTCAACGTATTCAATATTTGAAATGTTTTTACTGCGACATTTTTTTGTATGAAAACAATATAATATATTTTATATCTGTAACAAATTGATAACCTTTGTGGTAGTACCCACTTTAACATATCTTAGTTGCGTCGAGAACCTATAAGACGGTATCGTTCAATATCCGTTGTCGTCATTTACAGCAGACCCCTCGCTTCCATATAAAACAAATATTTCAATCCACGGTAATTTTTCCTATGACTTAACAGAGAAAAAAAGACGTCTGTTATAGATTGCAGTGTCTTCGTGTTTTATGATAATTATTATGTATAATGTAAATAATAAACATACACTGTTATCTGCAATCGTGATATTTTATTATCGCCCTTACATACACGCATAGTGTCCGTTTAACCCTATTTAAAGTGATATCTTATTTTTTATGCTAATATATTATAATGTACTGTAGTGAAACAGCATTATTATAATAGCCGACGATGTATATAAATATATATATATACATAAATAACGTATAAGTACTGCGGTATCTAGAAACTGAGAACTAGAATTGGATATGCGATGACGCGGTAGAGGAAGAGTGGAAGATAGTAGACTGTATGCACATACATAGAATAAAATATATACATATATGGGTACCGATAAAGAGGTTGGTGCGTTCTATTTTGTTTTTTTTTTTAGTCTAAAAGATGATTGTCTCAAAGCCGCATAATACACACATATGATAAGCACGAAAAGAAAAAAAAACCGGCGCTTCTAGGAGTATTACACTATAAGAAAATGACAAAAAAAAAAAATTACTACCCTTCTATTGTATATACATTTATATATATATATATAGGTACGGTATATACGCGAAACAACCTTACAAAAGCAATATATTCATAAGCTATTCGCTCAGTATGGGTGAGACCAAAGCAGGCGCCTGTTAATATCCATAACTAACGCAAACCGCAAGACGGCCGTATAAATTTACATGTGTGCACTTCTTTCCTACCCCTCCCACTTATTCTCAATATGTGTGTACATGCGAATAAAACGAATTTGTACAGTTTTTGCCGTGTACACAGTTTGTACGTCGTACCATTCACTCTGACAGTATTAATACTACTATTATTATCAGTTCATATTGCAAACATACAGTTTTAATACAGTGAGGGAGCAATTTTGTTCACGACCACGTTCATTTAATTTTATATAACCGTAGAACTTAATTATATTATGTCTTTATCATACAAGTGAGTCAATTGTAACGTAACTAGTTTTGAACAATTAAAGTATGTCACCTGTAGGTTCCATATAGGTTGTTCAATTTTGGAGGGTTTAAATGTGGTAACTGGTTAAATTGTGTTTCCCCTGACCTTTTTTTTTCTCGTAATATTTTACCACTTGTTGTAATGTAATGGCATTATCTAAGTCGCACAAGCGAATTTTTATACTTTTACTGCTGGTCGTAAAACGACAAATTAAATGTTCATATAGCTACACCACTGTTAGTAAAGGCTATAGCGCTAGTAAACTAAGTGTAGTTTGTATTTTGGGTTTGGGTGGGTCTTACTATTATATAATAATGGTCGCGAAAATTATGGTCAAGTGGTTTAAGTAAGAAAATACAAAGAGAAAGTCAAGTTCAATATAAAACATTATGCTAATCGTATGCCCGGAATCTTTTTGATCGTGTATATTATATAAAAGACATCTTCCGTCTCTATTGATTTCCTTGTCTGCTTTATTTCCCTTTGCTTTGGGTTTCACGTTTAATAACGATGATAATACTACAACGGCGGTAGCTTTATTATCGTATAATTTCATCGTGTATTCCATCCATCTTTATTTATAAACAAAATACTCCAGTTACTTCAAAAGCCAGATTAAACATTTTATTTAATATTATTCTTTCGGATTATTAACTAACAATTCATGAAAATGTTGTTCCCGTTTATCAATCAACATGTACCTTTGAGCTTTAAATGGAAGTATTACAACTAGGAGGGTTAAATCGGTTGGTTTTTATTAAAATTTATATATTTTACCCAAAGAATTCATTGCGTTAGATTTCATATTCCAAACAGTTTTTTTTTTTTTTTAAGTTGTCAAACGTGTTTAACATGTTTCAATATTTTTTAAACTATATTTTAATAATGTGTTTTGGTTAGAAATTAAATGTTTAAAAAAATGTATTTACAAAATGTTGTATGAACATAATACAAATATTTCCAAAAAAACATTAACTTTTTTCGATAAATCTTTTGTGATATGGGATTAGTATGATATTATGTTTTTATGTATATTTTACAAGGTAGTGCAATATATAAATAAACTTCATAGATTTTCTAAAATGTTGGGTTGACTATATGTATTACATTAACATATATTATAATAGAAAACACCGGGCTTTTCTTCGTTAAAGGGATGGTATGACCATGAAATGATTTGCTTACAAATTTGGCGACTAAAGCACGGCAATCCGATTAAGAGAACACAACCCGTTTTACTTAATTATTCATGGGTGATAAACATTTTAAAATTCTATAGAGAATAGAAGTTTCAGAATAAATGATGTGTCAAAAGGGAGAATACAACGCTAAGTAGGAAAAAAGGTCACTCACTCGAACGGCGCTTTTAGTGCAGCTATTAAAACATTATAAGCGTCTACTCTCATAATGGATTCCACTTTAGTCTACACAGATAAAAATCAGTTTAAATTGTAATAGTTCAAATGTATAGTACAATTATGTTATACCACAACTTGATTAATTTTTCTTTTTTTTTAGAATTTCAGTGACAACTACTACGCCTGTTCGTATAATATATATTATCATTGTGAGAATTATACCTTGCAGCTATCCGAGGTCTTTGACCTATAGTGTTATCAGTATATTACATACTATCTTACCCACAAATATGCCTGTTATTTGCGTTACGGATGTCATATTCAGAAACTGTTTTAGAGTACAAGCTATCTAAACATACTTCCAAGAATACCTAGTATAATGGTTGATATTGTATGTAAATGTCTAGGTTGTTTCGCTTGACTAACCATAACAAACACTACGATACAGACTTCAAACAAATAGCAATTTGTGCGCTGTATATTAGGTACTATGACGAAAAACGATATTATAAAACAAAACCCTACACTTTTCAACATGAAAGTAAATTTTCGGAGTATAATTTTAAAGAAGACCAAAGTTTTTAAAATTTTCTCTACGGATTTCAAAGAATTTGAGTTTAACTAGCAAACACTCAAACAATCGTTGAGCGATTAATACCTCTTGGGTAGTTTTAAAGGGGCGAGGACAACCTTTCTCTCCCCCGTTTCTCTCATATGCCGTTAGACTAATTTTTCGACATATGTTGTTCTATTATGAACTCCCATGAACGTATGAACTTTTTATTTTATTGAGTATACGTGGCTTCATACAAAACGGATGCCCAAAACTATTATCCTTATGATCTAGTGGTGTACTTAGTGGTACCAATTGTTATACCTACGTACTTGCAAATTTTCAATTATAAAAAAATAACTATAGGTATAGGTACTTGCGTCAGGGACGGCGCCAAGGGGAGGCGAGGGGGGGCGGTCGCCCCCTCATAACAAATTCTTGCCCTTCTCTCGCCCCCCCCCCAGATATTTTGCTAAATAGTATAATTTTAAATATTTGATTATTATTCCTAAAACCCAGATTTTAAATAACTGTATTATTATATATACAAATTTAGTTACTACGGAAATTGTGAAAACAATTGTTGTTTTGATTTAAACCTGTTTATCTATACAAATTTAGTTATTAGTTATGACATTGCCACCAAATGTGGCCTATTTTTATCAATATATTTTGAGTGTTTTTGCAATCGGTTATTAATAATCCGTCGCCCATATAATTATGTGTTTTGGTGTATACATATATATAATTATAATATTTACGTTTGTGTGTGTGTTTTCCAAAAATTTAGTGTTTATTGACGGATTGTTTTGGTTTAATAGAATGTAGGTATAACACGATAACTATAATCTCCACTGACTGGTTGTTGGGCATTTTATAAGCCTTCATTTTTACTTCGACTTTCATAGAGTACAATAAGAGCTATATGATGGCCGATAGGTAAAAATAACGCTTATTTAAAAAAGTTGCCTTACTTAAATTGTACACTAGTGTATATTGTCCCTTAATCTGTAATAAATTCATATTTTATACTATTTCACTGATAAATATTAAAGTCATTCACTGATAAATCATTATAATTGTTTTTTATTGACAGAAGTAGGTAAAATTATTGTGGTTGCCCCTCCAAAAAATTCACTTGACCTTTCCCGCCCCCCTAAGAAAAAAATTCTGGTGCCGTGCCTGACTTGCGTCCAACCGTGCTTGTGGCAACTGCTGGTACGACGATCTCGTACCAAAACAAACGTTTTCTAAAAAAATTTAACAGTTGCGCCCCATGCATAATATATTGTCAGCCGTAAAAACTATTGTTTTATCGAAAAGTAGTTGAAACTGCCGAGAAGTATACACGAATTCATATAACATAATAAATCCTGATCATATTTTCTCGGTTCCGTATCCTGCGCCTTAAATATTTATCTACAAAACCACTTGTAAATGCGGTCACGTATCACATTTCGTATACTTCCACTGGTTGGCGTACACACTCACGGTCGTAATGTTGGACTCCGAAAAGTGAAATAAACATGTGGTGTTCTATTGACTATCTGATAAGTTGCGCTAGCTTTCCAAAAAGAAAAAACCTCACGTACTCGCCGCAGAAAAGTTTCTTACCAAAGCGTGTACTTAATAATATATGCAATTGACTGCACCAGCGGTCATTAGGTATTTATATGTATATAATATAAAACGTCAAAATCAGACGTTACCACTTTTGAATTTGTTATTAGTACAAACACATATTATCTGCACAAAAACGTTCTTATTCAACTGTTAAGTAATTTTTTCGGCCGATTGAGTTAATGATCGAAATCAATACAACGCACTTTGCGGTTGTAGTTAACTAGAAAAAATATAAAAGTCACTAAATTAACATAAAATTGAACGTAAATCCTTCATTATTCTCCGCTGTATTTCCGTAATTTATATATATATTAAAATTCAAAACTGAGATTTAATATACCTATAAGTTATTCAGAAAACTTTAATAATTACAAAACTTATTATAAAGTAATTTAATGAAATTCATTTTCATAAAAGTGATATTTTATTACTCTCGATAAAATGGTTTATAAGTAGTTCTTAAAAAAGCTCGCACAAAGGGGTCGACGCATAGGGGGGGTCGAGCATATTAGGGACTGGGGGCAGAACGTCACAGGTCTCCAGGAAGTATTATAACTCAAGGTGATTTTATCACTAAATACACGAAATTAATACTTTGGTACGAAACAGCAGACGATAAAAAGTATTAAACATAAATCACTTAATTTACAATAAATGTATTTATAATAGTGTTATTTCATTTTTTGAAGTTTTCCAATAAAAAAGCATAACTTCAGAATTTTTTTTTTTGTTTGAGTTGAGAACAATCTACTGAAAATGTGTAATGTAAATGTTCAGTGTAATCTAGTGAATAAGTTGATGAGAGTTATCTTTAGTATTTCTTAAATAATATCATTCTTATCAAAATGTAGACTGTTGATTGTGGATTCATTCACACATAGCAGCCTAGAAACCTTAAACCTAACGGTCAAGTATAATTTTTTGTTTTTACTAGTAAAGTAAAGTATGTTATAGCCTTTTTCTAGATTTATGTATCTCAGCCTAATTTTAAGACCTTATGTTCTAAAACTACGCTCAAAAAAGTAAAGTCAAGAAGAAGTTTCCAACTCTTTAGAGTAAAAGGTTTATGATATCTTTTTGGTTTGTTAATATGTGTTGATAGTAGTATATTATATATACAAAAAACATGCAAATTTGGAACCTAATCGATTATTTTAAAAACATTGCACACTGTAATTTTAATTTTAAGAGAACGTAATTTGTTGGATATATACTCGTACCTCAGTTTTTAAAGAAAAAGGTAAACTTTTAAAATTTATAGACAAACAAAGTCCTTTTATGGTATCATTTCTAATTTAAAGGTATTTTACACGAATAAATAAATTTAGTGGCTTAGGAGATATCGTGGATCCAGACACAAAAAACAAAACAAAACTCATCATTGTAAAAACTAAAAACAATAATATCCCTATTTAACCTAAAATGATATAAAATAACTTATTTTAGAATAACTATAAAGGAGGTGTATTATTATTATACATTCACTTAATGCCTTACACTAACTTTAAAGTTAAATGTCTTGTTTAACACATTTGATTGCGCCACAAATTATTAAGAAAAATAAAAAACATAAACTTCAAAAAACTATACATGTAGTGTGTTCAGAATTTTATAACACAAATTATATAACTTAACTGATGCACCAGAAACAAAAAGTGATGATTCCGAAGAAGATGTACTAATTAATTTTTATACTCGAAAAAAAGTTAAGGAACAAAAGGCCGAAAATAAAAGAAAAAAAACACTCAATGCAGGAAAAAATAGTTTATTTGATGTATACTTGAATATATAGTATTATATAGTTAACAATTAATTGGAGTTCTATTTAGTTAATTCGCTTGTTCAACCAATTCTTGTTATACATCTATTATGGGATCTTTAAAGTCAAATACTGGAAAACGAGACAAATCTTCATCGACTGTAAAACCGTAGGCTTTTCTTAATTTAGCATCCAAAACACGTACTTCTGCATTTATTTTGTCACTTTCAGCCGTTTGAGTCATTATAGTTTCTTGGTATTCTTTTACTTTGTCATTCAAAAGTTTTTTTAGTTGATCTTCAGATTTAGTTTGTGTTTCTTTCTTGTCTGTATTTTTATCTGTAGTTACAACTGATGTTTTGAAACTATTGTTGGCTGCATATGTTTGTCCCGGTATTCCAAGTATTTTCGACTTTTTTAAATGATGGAATAGTTTCAATGAAAACATTTTAACGCGAATCCAACTTCTTTAGTTCAACAAATATTTAAAATCGGACAAAATAAGACAAATGAATATCAAATAATAAATTGTTTTACAAAATAATAAACTGTTGATTTATAACCAATGTGTTTAATAGCCAGCTAATAAGTAAACATGTATGTTTTAATTTATAAAGTAAACACTTTACACTTATACTTTTTTTTATGTCTATTATGAAGACATGGATACATATGATAATCATCAAATTAATGTTTGCTTATATTATTAAGACTTTGTAAATTGATCGTTACATGTTAAGAAATTGCTAAAAACATTTTATAGGAACATAAGGTAAAAAATGATTGGGCATTCTCTCCAAAAGTTTCACTATTTGATTAAATTACAGTAAATATAAACATTTTTGTTGTAAAAATGAATGAAACAGTTTGGGTAGTCCACTTTTTAAGCTAGAAAATTTGGATCATATTTTTTCTTTTTAATTTTTATTGAATTAAAACATATTTTATGATAAAATATGATAATATAAAGTCATGATTTAATTTAAGAAGTCGCTGCACCACTTTTTGTAATAGTGGTTCGGTATGTAGGACATTTTTTTTTTAAATCTTAGTTTTAAGTTGAAACTTAAGTATTTATTAGTACAAATAGCTGTTTGGGCGGGTAAGTCACACATAACGACGGGCACGATCATGGCTCCCTCACTGTAAAGTATTTTCGATAAGGTCACAGAAACCGAGGGGGGGTGTCCACTACACCATGTCTGGTGCTCCTTGCTTAAAGATAATATTACAATTTTTTTTTAATTCAATTTTGAAAGTAATGTCTAAAAGTTAGTAGACGGTTAAAATCAAGTGTCCGGTGTTACTTACTTTACGAGGTTAGTAAGCAATGCTTTAAAATAAAAATAAATGTTTAGGAATCAATCGGCTAAAGTATCTAATGTCTGGTATGATATATCTATGTGAAACAAACTTTTTCAAACGTAGTATAATATTGTATGTCTAAATATTAGTCGAATTAGAATCCTGATCCGTTCATTTAGAATTTAATCATCAGAGCTACATGCGGCATAAAGCATTAAAGGTGTATACTTAAGGTTTGGTGGTTTATCAGAAGTTCAAAAATGTAGAAGAGCGATATGTTTATGTGTTCTGTAACGGATACTTAAACACTCAAGAGAAAAAAACATGAATGAAATATCTAAAGGTCAATCTGTATAAATTAAACAGGGAAAGGAGTAAACCTAACTTAACCTAACCTAACGTTTTAATTTTTTAGAGTTAATCAAGTACTATAAATTGAATACAACATTTCAAAATGTGTCAATCATGTTGTCAATATTGAAATTTGTATTTTCAGTTCTATTTGTTTAAGTTGAATTTCTTTAACTGTTTTTAAATTTTTAAACACCTACTCCAAAATTATTTATGTTATTTATCAAGTATATTATGTAAGTAAATATCAAGGTTAACTCAATAACTGTAAGTTTACCACTTGCATCGTATGCACTCTTCAATGTTATTAATTTGCATACACAATACGCCGTGTAAGAATTATATTTATTTTATGCTCATTACTTTTGAAATTTCTCAGATGTGCCTGTCGTCAACTTGGAGCTGGGTAGTAACATTAATGCCAGTGCAATAAAAGAGGGTGTGGACGTGTACTTTGAATGCAACATCAAATCCAACCCGTGGGTGTACAGAGTGACTTGGCGACATAATGTAAGTAAAAATTAGACAATAATTATATGATTGTATTGAAACTATTATTGTACATTTGCTTTAAAATCTCAGTATTTTAAAAAAGGTTTTAGGATGTAGTGTGTATGCTATTACTATTGATTATAAATAATAATAATAATAACTATAAATAATCGTATTTATAATCAATGCTATTACATATTATATAGTACCAGAAGTATTAATAATACGGGATATTCTTATAATTTTGGACATCAATATTTGTACTATAATACTGTTTTTCACTATTTTTGTTTCCCTAGAATTTTGACGTAGGAAAAGTGTAAATGTATCTCTTTAAAAGAAAAACATATAACTAGGTACTATTATGTTTTCATTAATGTAACGGATACGTTATAATACTAGTATGTAAAACATTAAATAATTATTTTAAACTTCAAAATAAATTATAGTTTTGTAATTAACCAAAATAATTTATGATCAAGACTGAATGATATTATATCTATAATTTTAAGTACAGTCTAAAAAATAATAATTACGGACGGTCGTATTTCAGTTCTGTGTAATTTTCGTGATAGTTATACCAACAGTAATAATAATAATACATTCAATCATACTAATGTCATGTTAAATGTTTGTATCTAGAAGGGATTTATACTTCACAAGTATTATAGATTTGTCTGGTCGACTTGACTTCTAAAATTCAGATAAACTAAGTTTACTCGATCACGGTACTACGAGTAATTTATCATTATTATAATATGTCCTGCCGATTAGAATACACTTGACTAACCGTTACCTACTTGTATAACATCTACGATACGTTCCATTGGTCGCAAATACTTACCAAAAGCGATGTTCTCTCGGTAGTTTTCCGGGGCCATAAATAGCCACGATTGATTTGAAATTAAACCGTGTGTTACAGGGAAAGCCTTTGAACAATAATCCGGCGGCGGGCACGATAGTGAGCAATCAAAGTTTGGTGCTGCAATCGGTTACCCGAGACCGTGCCGGAATTTACACATGCGTCGGTAGCAATCAAGAGGGAGACGGCGTGAGCAACCCTGTGAACTTGGACGTAAAATGTGAGTACACGACAACGTCTTAGCTCTTGACTGTGTGCAAATACCGTGCACAAACGTGTAACCGAGTGACATTTCCGGAATAGTGTACAGTCTAATATTTGTATCCTGATTTGGGTGGTCCATAAAAATGTATTACATAAACTCGAAAAGTTTAATCAACAAACAATCATTAGGGAAATATAGTTATAGGTTTTCCCGTTGACCACACGACGATGTGCGTTATTTTTCAAATGGCATTACCGACCACTTGTTCTTGCAGTGTCACCTATGTACGAGTGTTTGTGAATATATTATTATGTATATTTTATGCCACCGAGCGTGTTTAGGACGTTTGCCCGATGGGTAAAGTGTCCGAACGTCCGAAATGGATAGCAGATTAAGTGCGGTCACGGCGCTTTGTGTCATAAAATAATAAATTCGCGCCGGGTCTTAAAACACAACGCGTGATTTTCAATTCAGTTACCATTTGAATAAAATACAAACGACAACTACAATGATCTCGAGAAAAGACCCTGTTAAATGCTCTAAAAGCTGAGACCGACAAGAAACCCTGACATAAGTACACTTCATTAAAAATTGTATTACTTATTGTTTATATAAAAAAAAATGTGTTATCATAAATCGGGTGAAAGGCCCAAGATACAAGACAAGAATACACATTGACTATGCCATGAAACTAAACACACAATTCTAACAGTGAATACATAAAAAATACAATTAATTTATAGAAAAAAAAGAGATCCATCCTGTGCACAACATACAAGACACATTAAATGGTAAGGCTATATATTATGTAATAAGATAAGAAGGAATAGCCTGAATAGCTGAACACGAGAGCGAACGAGGCAGATGGACTACACTAAGAAATTTAGTATAGCAAGTAGGGAAAGAGAATTAATGTTTATTTGATAAACAAGACCGTTTTAAATTATTTAAAATATTTACACACTTGTATATAGTGCGTAAATTAAAATACCAAACAATAGCTAACAAAATTACTAAAATAAAGTACACTTTGCAGGGTTTCGAACGCGTTCTAGTCCGGGTTTACATTTTACTTTTAAACTAAAAAATTATTATTTAAATCAGTACAATATATATTTTTTCGGAACGATTTGTTTCAGAATGAATACATTCAGTAAAAATATGTAATTTTTTTTTTAAAGGAATTTATTCCACACTGGTATAAACAAAAATTGTTTTTAATTTAAGAGTAATATATAAACATTGGCCGGACTAAAATTTAATACTCTTACACGCAGACTGTAATTCACCCCTAGTTATTGTTATAAAATGGACAAACAATTGTACATACATCAATAGAACATAATTTAATTGACAAAAAAAAAACCTGACGGATATTATAAAATGATTTTTGAACTTTCATAAATATATCGGATTTGCATCAACAACATGACGATATTATAATAAATTAATTCGATTTTTTTATAATATTTAGCGATTTGGTAGTGAACTTTGTTCGGTGGCGTCACGAAATGATAAAGTACCACTTTCAAAAATTGAATATTATAGTCTGCTGGATTTACCAACGCACGTCGTAATAGCGCGTTTAGTCTATGAAAAATGATTTATTTTATGTTTTGCATAAACTATAGAACGTGTCGTTTTATTGAAAATATTGTTTTTCGGTAGCTTTCATTCGCCTTTGGGTTTGTCGCTTTACATATAAAAAAAAATTGATAAGTATTACAGTGTCTGTGAATGCTCGGAAAAAGCGCTTAGGATAAAACATAAAATAAGTATTAACAATAATAACGGAAACAAAAAGTATTCGACAAAAAAGCGTCATTCGGTTTTACAGTTATTTTACCACCTAATTTATTCAAAAGTTTATCTCTACAAAGTTAAAAAAAAACAAACGCCATTAGACACGAGTTATTAAATTTTGTATAAATAAAATATTAATATAAAACATCAGTTCTTATTCAGTTGACAACGAAGGCCTGTTAATATATTTTCCAAACTAATAGAATTCATTATTGAAAACAAATAGAAGCAATACAAAAAATACCTATGTATAATAACATACTGAATGCATATACTAAAATAGAAATGTAATACAAATTTTAATTATGTACAACACGTTTCTTAAAAGCCAGACTTTCCATTAAAAACATTTACTTTCTCCATTATTCGTCTTCATCTACCCCTGCGTTGTAACTTAGTAAAACATTATTTATTAATTATTGTTCATTTTTTACCATTTTCTAAATATTGGAAGTCATTTTTCACTCATTTTTTTCTATTGTTCAAGACTACTTGTCTTAATTAGTTACATGTATTATTTATATATGTATTCATTATTGATTTCATAATATTTTAAGTATTCCAGTTATCATTTTAGCTGTTTCCGTTTTCTTCTAATCTTTTACATAACTTAATAACCAACCTTTTCGTTCATCGCAATTATCTTTAAAACTTTACTCACAGTTATATGATGCGAGCTATAAGATTATTAATAACCAAATTTATTATAAGATTAAATTTAATGTTTCCACGTTAAATTTAATACGTTTTACAAATCCAACAATATTATGGTAAAAACTATAGATACCTACCGCTTAGTTCATAATCATTTTTAATATAATGTTATGTAATTATTTTTGTTATTCCATTTGGTGTCGATGAAGGTTTGCCTGTAAAAATAATAGGTTTTTTTATATTTTTATTTATTCTTTGGTCTACACCCACGATCACTTGCTTACCTTTTGATAGATTTCTTCATATATGTAGCCTATAAATCAGAAAGCGTACAATGAGAAAGTACTTTATAAGGCGAAGAAGTATTTAAATATTTTCAAATTTGTTGTCAGTCAAGAAAATGTGACAACGACATTTTTTTACAATAAAAGTATAAAATTTGTAGTGATTTTAATTTTGATCACTTTCAGACCTTATAAATTCTAAAGAGATTTGAATTACACCATATGACTACCATAATTTTGAATTAATAAGAGCTTGTGTGTTTGTTATCTATATAAAATTATTTTTACTAACTTAACTATAATGCGATTATTTCCCAAATAATTTAAGATTTAAAAATTCAATTTTTCATTACAAATGTATTGTATTTAACTTCAAATATTTTTATAAAAAATAAACAAACCAATTATTATTACACTAACAAATATTCGACAATTAGCAAACAATAATTGTGAATACTGCTGGCCATCGTTTAATACATCATAACGGCATGACACTGACTGACGACCCGCCCGGGTGGTGAATTCGTCTAGAAACCATTTCAAGATGGGCTTTCAAGACCCGTTAAGCTACATGATGGTGACGAACGCAATGATAATGTACCATTTGTATGGCAATTTTTTATTACCACAATTATTATTATTTATCAAATATCTGAAAAACCGTCGTGGTGGTGGGTACGTGCGACACCACACCGCTGTTGTGCTGTATTATTATAATCATTATCGTTATTAAGCCCCGGCGCGGCGGGCTGTACTCGACCCAGAAACGTGTAAACCGTCCGTGCATAACTGTTATAATATTATTATAAGGACGATAATATATCATAAGGTGCGGGTAAACTCGTGGAGCGATGAACGAGAAACGTGGCCGAGGTTTTAGGCAAGGAAACCCGAGATGACAGTAAACGAGAGGCGCGTATTATATCCCTGGAGTCCGTGGCCTAGACGACGCGACGTCCACCGGCGGCTGCCGGTATAAATTAGCGTGTTAGCCCGGAGCCTTTGCACGTGCTACTCGAAAAACGGAATTAACGGCACAAAACGGCCATAGAATAGAGTACGCGGGGTCCGGGAGACACAGGTAAAAACATATTATTTTAATATATGCAAACGAATACCCGCAAAGACTTTGCTGAGCACTATGGCTGTTACAGTACGTTGGTGCGTCTCGCTTTGTTTAATTATTTCATCCAAATGTGCTATGAGAAGAAACATAATATAAGACAACAGATTTCGACCAAAATTTACTGCGATTAAGTCGAGGACAACGTTTTTTGAAATAAACGACTGGAAATTATGATTGAAGATCATGTTTAAGCTTTGCGCGATGAAGTAATATCAAATAGTTTGGACTATTTTCTTTTTTTTTCGACGTCAATTTGTTAAGCGGTAATGTTTAAGTAACGTTTCGACATAACACAACACTAATTGGTCGACTTCGAAAAGCCACTTTAGTTCCAACAATACTCTGGGACAAAACGAATCAAAATAGCCACATTATAGGCTGCATAAAAGGAATAACTACATATCTATGTATAATTCGAGGATACAATGTTAATTGGCCATGATGAAAGTACACAAAACGTCGAATAACATTATCAAGCTTAAAAAACTCAAAAGTCAAAGAAAACAAAAGTATAATATAAATGTCTAACTCACCTCTTTTGTCGAAATTGTACGGTAATGGAAAAGACGCAAAGAGATTGTGCCATTAAAACGATTTGCAACAGTGACTTTGAAAATAATTATTCGAAATATCTTTTAATTGTATCCGAGACGTAGTTAAATCGAGTCCCATAAAATTCATAACGATAATGATGAACTTTTTGTATTTATAAAAGTTTTTAAAGTCTTCTTTCCTTCACTCGAAGTCTTGAAGTAACTACTTGTTTCTATGTTCCACGCTATTAACACGCTTTTGATGTTTAAGGGTACAGGTTTACTTAAAATACAATTTTATTTGTATATTATAAAAATAAAAATAGATGATCTTACTTTAAGATCTATAACTTCTCAAATACAATGATACTACGAAATGTATACATTTTTTATATTGACAAAAAATAAAAATCATCCAAACCAAATTGTACGTACAAAATACATTGATAATTTTAATTTTAAAAACTACTTTTTTTTCAGTTGCTCCTATTTGTCGACCAGGACAGGAAACCGTACAAGGAGTGGGCAGGCGTGAGGCGGCTAAAGTAGTGTGCGAAGTGGAAGCCAACCCTTCGGACCACTTAGAGTATGTTTGGAGATTCAACAACTCCAGGGAAACCGTCCGATTGGAACGCGACCGGTACACCGAAGACGGTCCTCGCAGCACTGCCGCATATACCCCTCAAACTCCACTCGACTATGGCACCTTGATGTGTTGGGCAAGTAACGAATACGGCAAACAGTCTACCCCATGCGTCTACCAAGTAATCGCAGCTGGTAAGTAGATATAATTTTAAAAAAACCTTTAATATAAAATCGTCTACTTGAGCACGTGCTGTGTGTAAGTTTTGTTTAAGCAATTTTACTGATTATATGCTATGGTTAGTATCCAATAAATGTTATGCAACTGGAGAATTGCGTACTTGTTTTTGTTCCTTACATTATGTTCTTTGAACCCAACCACAATATTTAATTTTGTCTGACCTACAGAGCATTTAACACGTTTTTTTACATAGTAATTTATAAATATTTGATTATTCTTTTTACCCTAATTTTATCTTTGGAGCTACCTAAGGAAGATTTTAACCTTTGAAATACCCTGAAAATAATTTCAGCAGTTACCATTTCACTTGACATTACTTCTCGTTAAATTAGAATAGTCAATGTCTTAGTAAATTCTAACTAAATTATAGAAATTGCTTCTTTGAGTATTGATTTAAATGAACTGATTTACTTAGATTAAGTATCTAAGCTGTTTTTAAAATTCTATAAACTCTCTGTTTAAAACATCTCATTCATTTTGAATATAAACAGATTATAGAAACTATAATTTGTTTATTGAAAAATTAATTTGATCACCTCAGACAAACATAATATCAAAAACATTATAATTTAGTATTAAATATATAAAGGCCACGGGGAAAGAAGGGTAGTAGTGCAGTTATGAAAATTGTTCAGGAGAGCAAAAACAAAGTAAGTTTGCGCGTATATGTCAACCGTTGTTAAAGCGCTAAGTTGGCCCCACTGTAACCTCTCTTTCACCGAATGGATTTAGACATTTAATAGTAGGCCCAATATACCATTGACTGGTGTCATTATCTAGAAATTTAAAAAATAGACTACTACCTTTCATCCACTGTCCCCTTCATATATATATTAAGTATATTAAATACATTTTATCTTTCACAAGCATCATTTGTTGGTCTGTAATAAAATTCACATTATTAAGTGTTCATAACAATAATGTTGAATTAATAATGGTCAAATCACAAAGAAAATTATATCTCTGTCCGTAAAAAATATAAAAGACACATTAAAAATATAATTTACTAATGAAGTTTGTGTATCTTTGACTTCCAAAAAGTAGTAATTTTAACGTTAATGGATAATTTCAAGGCTACTATGTTTACTAGAAGAATTATATGTTTCAATGAAAGTTTTGTTCCAATTGGTCCTAAATCAGACATTAATTTATTGGCTATTATTCAAAATGAAGATGTCGTTTTTAGCAGTATTTAATTTTAACAAAAGAATGGATAAACATATTATATGGCTTTAACATTATTTTAACTGCTCTGCACAAAATAAAAACAGGTGCTAATTAACTTTTTTGATTTATTTAATAAACTCAGAAAACATTAATGTAAATGAAATAAGTTGATATTATTTCTATCCAGGTGATTCCTGGGAATGGTATTATATTAAATGAACCTGTGTATCGTATAAGCTATCTTATTGTTCCACGCTGAGGAGGAGGAGTGGCCGAGTGGGTAAGACGGCAGTGTGTTAGCGCCCACTGTCGCCGAGCCGGTTCAACACTGAGTTACGGGCCCAGATATTGATTCGGTATGACATACTAAATTACAGAGCTATGTACACAGTTGTCGAATCAGAGCTTTTTTAAAGAGTAGGTACAAATAATGTACGTCGAAAAATAAGAAAGCTTTTTGGATAAACGGGTTCATTTCATATATCATTCGAGCTGCGTACGTATAAACGGTTAGTCATAAAAACTATAATATTATTCTGCAATTTCCATAAAATTGCGTTTCGCTATGGATTTAACGGCACTCATTACTGTCATATTTTGCTTTGTCTCGTATACGTTTGAATTTGATAACGAAATGGAAGAGAAGGAATATTATTTCATACAGTTAAAACATACGGCCGACCTAGATTTTGGACACGGAAAACTCTACAACAAACCTAACCTAACTAAAGAGTTCGAAGACATGACACTTGATGATTTGAAAGCTATTGAATTTACATTATTATATGAATATATTTAAATCGTTTTTGCAATTAGAAACGAGACCGAATTTGACCGCTAGCGAAATAGAGATGTATTCTTTTGTAAAAGAAACACAACGTATGCTGACCGCAATGCATAACGTTGAAAACAATAGTACTGCCAAGTACATCATGTGGGCGTATCTAGTGTTTACAGAGAAAATTGCTAAAATCATGAGGCATCCCGAAAAATACTATAGGGGTGTAATGACACCAGAAACAAGTATAATAGCAACCTCTTTTTTGTCCATTGTACAATATATTGAAGAATTCATTCAAAGCCCAAAGTGTAAACTTTTATCCTATAAACCAGACGAAGTGTTTAGTAATTGGCCGATACATGAGCGTCACACTATGGATTACCACAAATGGACCGAGAAGCTAATGGATGCCCGAAACATCGTACTTAAACAATTAGATTACAACAACAGCAAAGGTTTTAGTTCGATGGACGACAAAGCGTATTCAGTGGATGTAATGCGTTTAAAAGGCGTGTTCAACCAACCTGACATATTAAACTATTTAATTAGAAAGTTGCTCGTGAATAGTGATTGGAGTGAAGTGAAATTTAAATCTCAAGGGTTGTCGATTCTCCCTGAAAATGTAGATTGTAATTCACTGGCGATCGATTTGGTAAGTTTCAAAGAACTGCAAGAGACAATTCAAACCGACTACTTCCCATCTCTGGTCCAACAAATAAACAATTTGATAAAATTCCATTCGAACTTCATCCAATTATTAAAAGTTATCCCGTTACAACTGATTAACAAGTATCTGTTAACAATAATGAATTCTGCTGATGAAGTAATTCCACCAATACTGTATTTTAACCAGGAAATAGCCAATCAACTATCGGTCTTAGTCGACATTTTAGATTTCGCACATGACGAAAACTTACTAGAGTTAGTTCGATTCTTTAATGAAATTTCAAACAGTGGACGCCTAGACCTAAGCAAGTGAGTAACGCTCAAAAATCATTAAACACAACACTTGAACATATTGGAAAGCAACTATTCGACGGGCCAATAATAAATAATATTACATTTGAAGCGGCCAGTATTTCTGCCGGCTCAATAGTACAACCTGAAAACGGGACAACTGAAAAGTTACGTGTTTTAGTAAATAACATTAAAGAGATCATTGAATACATAAAAGACAATATAACCATTTTCGTTAACTTCACGGGGATACATTCATTTATCGATATTGAATTCTCAAAAGAGTTTTTAGTATTACAGGAGGATGAAGCAGCCACGCCAACATGAAATTAATAAATTTAACGCATTTAATAATATAATAATAATTATACAATAACATAATGGTTTTACGTTCACTAAATGTGTTAACCTATTCATTTTAATTCACAAATCAATACAAAATGTTTTTGAAAAATGTTTACAGTAGATTATTTACCATACTTGTACGTTAACCTCGATAAGAACGGAAATTCCATTATGAGCCATAGGGGTATAAGGTTAAATTGTATTCGATTTTGTCGAAGCTTTTTAATTCTTTCATCACAGTCAAACAATAATATTATGGTGTTTTCCTACTTATTTCTGCTGCTAATATCTGTAGTAAATAGTAGTAGTAGTAGTAGTAGTAGTAGTAGTATGTGAGTAAGTAAGGAAGGTCCAGTGTTCACTGTTAAAAATACAATTGTCGATAAAAGCATTGAACCTGTTAATAATTTATTATGCGCATACAAATTATATTAAGACTATGCAAATTTTCATAGTCACCTATTTATCGTAATTAACAGTATAATGACTCTGCTGGGTCACAGTTCAAAAAATGTGCTTTTTTGTGATATATTTTTTTGTGTCTTTTCTTAAAGTGTCTACTTAAGGATCCGAAAATGTGTGCAATTTCTACTTTGGTGGCTCATAGGCAAAAAATGTTAACTTCTTTTTCCCCAAAAATAAGAAATAGACATTTTTTTCTTCAAATTTTTACACCCTTTTCAGAAAAACATGTTTTTGAAATAATTTTTAATACAATAATCAAACCAGACATAAATGATTTATAATTACAAAAAAAAAAAAAACAATTACCTAACTTAAATTTGTAAAATTTAAAACCAATAATGTTTCTAATGAGAAATTCGGTTTTAAAAAATGTTGTTTAGAGTAGCATATTTGTTTTAATGTTTGTACGTAGTGCATACGTGTTCAATTATTATTTGTAAGTACAACCGTTTTTTTTAAAAATAATTTTAAATAATTTAAAGTTGCACTTTAAAACGTTATAGATTATGAAACACTTATACAGGTACACAAAAAATGATTCAACTTTAATTTTGAAATCGAGAAAAACACCTGATTAGTTTACATATTTTTCAACTTGTAATAATTCTTCAGAACTGTGATCCCCCCTCCCAATATGCTCCGCTATCACTATGCCCCGTCACCACTGTACTGGTTTCTCTAATTTTGCTTTAAACATTTCTAGACCCACCTTTTGCTATCAAGCAAATACAATATTATATTTGTGTATAATCACAAATGTTCTAAAGTTTAATACAAACATGTAGTCATTAAATATATAAATCAAATATATAACATAATCATTGTCTATGCTTTTTAACATAAAAAAGAAAAATTAAAATATTTGTGGGCGAAAATCCTAAAAGAGTATGTCTGATGCGAGGATATTTTCAGCCTATGATTTATTATAACCTGTACTATAATTATTAAAAATTATATCCACGAGTGCTTACACAAATGCAAAAAAAAAAGCCAGTACAATGGGGTCGGGGCATAGTGGGGACGGAAAGGTCACAGGTCTACAGATTTTATTATAACTGAAAGTGATAAAATCGATGCGAATCTGTAGTATGTTCAAACCAGTTATAGCGGTTTAGAAGATATTGTGGGACCATCAATACTTAAAATTTAATATTTAGTCTTGTGCAGGGTGAATGCGATAAGGGTTGATCCTCTATCTATAAAAACGTACTGTCATAGTCACCTATATATCGTAGTTAA